ATATATTTTTATATCACAACACATCCCAGTGATTCTCAAAACAATTTCATTTTTGTGCTACTAACTTTTATTTGAGCAAATTCAGCCACTTAGTTGTACTTAACAACCAACTGTTGCCCTGTTGTTTGTAGTTCATTGCTGTACGTGCTTTTAAAAATTTTGTTCTTTTGAGCCAACATTTCCAGCAAGGAATTCATTCTATGTAGAAATTTGCAAAAATACCACTAAGCTATGTTTGTGGACATTCATCACAGCACTATATTTTAGCAGCAAAAAAGCTGGAAATAATCTGAATGTCTATCAATACAATTGTTATTCGATAAATACATTAGTTGTTTAAAATTTTGGATGACATTACCAATATTTTCTAAAGAATTGTTTATGTTTTCTTTTTATTTTCCTTCAGGAAAAATGTCAGCAAATTTTGGATGATATTTTTAAAAAGAAATCTTTGGGTCTTTATTACCAAATAAGATAACGGAAGAATATATGTTAGTCCCACTACCATATATGTACTTTTTTTCCTTTTTCAAACTTTACTAATTTGTCAAATTCCAAAGTCTGAGAATCATAGATTGAATGTATAGTACCATAGCAAATGCTGCTTAAAATTAGAAATTTTCTATTTTCTTAATTCTCTGAATTAAATGTAAATCAGTAGGTATCATAATTACAAGTTGAAAGTAAAAATGTCCCCAGCATTTGATTGTGGTTTTTCTCTAGAATCTACTAGTCACCATAATAAGTCTTTGGGGAATGCTTTACTAGAAGCTAAAAAACAAGAATGGTCATTAGTCTGTAATAAACCTTCAGTTTGATGAGTTGACCTTATTCTTTCAGAAGTCAAAATTTAAAAACATCCTTGATTTTATATACCTCATGCCATCATATTTTTTTTTCCTGTATTTCCCAAGACTTTGCCTCTGATATCGCAGACTTGCCACTGCGGTGCTTTGCCCTACCTAACATAATGACCATGTAAGGTAAAAGATGTGTAAGATGGTCTCCTACCAGGTTGTTATCCGCTCAGCATTACCCTGAAGGAACAACCTTGCAAAGCTTTACTATTACTTCTATGATTCTGGCAACATAAAATAGGCAAAGCAAATGAAATTTTACTGTCAGAGTATAAGACTTTTAAACTAAGAGAATAGATTTCTTTCTTTCTTTATACAGTAGTTACTGTTTTCTCTTAAGGAAAGTATATGACAATGATGTACAAAGTCATAATTTTATCACTACTACACAGAAAAGCAATGTGTCTATATATCAGCAGAAAGATATAGCATGTGGTCATTTATGCCATATCGAACCTGTAGTTCTATTTCACAAGACAATAACTTACAACTTAATCACATCTATGTAATAATGAATATTCATAGGATAAGGTGTTACGTATGTGTGTGTGTATACTTTCCTTACTACTAACTAAAGCTCTTTTACATTTTATAAATTTCCAATGAGTAACTGAAAAAGAGAGAAGGGATAGTTATCCTCATTTCATGTATATTAAACAAAAATTATATTTATATTCAACCTGTCCTGTTGAATTGTTGGTCAAACATGAGAAAAAAGAAAACAGTAGTACTTCAGTAAAATTCAGGTCATCTTACTACCAGAACATGGTTTGTTCTATTAAGATCTTAATGCTAGTAGTATTTGGATTAACATTGGATTGAATTGGAATGGAGACTTGTATTTAAGCTGATCAATAAGCTGAGCATAGTTTTACACCTGTCCTGTTATTAGTGCTATATATATACTTTCTGTATTACAAACATGCTTAAAGTTCTAAACAGTTTAATCCCCTTTCTGTAGGCGAGCTAGACGCCAAGATGTGAAGTATGGGGATCCAATCACCCAGTGCTGGGACATTGAAGACAGTAAGTATAGGTTTAATATACTTTCCATCTTTTTAAAATATTAAGAAATAGTCTTTGTATGTCATATTATATGACTTAAAACATCTATGTGGAAAAAAAATAGAAATTCCTTCTATTACATACCTAGATCTTATTTTGTGTAATGTGTATTCTAGAAAAGCAACTGGAGATTTTAAAAATCAACTCCATGTCTGTATGTTTAAGTGAATGATTCTTTGTTATATCATTAGTTAGTTTGTATGTCTTTTAAAACCCTGTACCATTGGTTTTGATTTTTGTTTTTTACTGCTGTATCCATGTTTAAGACGTTTGAAAACTGCTGTTAGAGATAGAGCAGGATATAGTCTAAAATATTTGGGCATTTAGAGTAAACTCAGAGACACTTGCAAAAAGGTCTGATAAAATTATGTAAACTTAGGAGAAAGAAACTTTCGGTGACCTGAACTTTATTATTTTTTTTTTATTCATACATATATTGATATATTCAGTAAATATGTATTAAGTGACTTCCATGTGCACATAATTGTCCTAGATATACCATGAAACAATGAAATTCCTCAGAGAGCTTATGGTTTCTTTGGGAAATGTCATAAGATATAATTAGTGATATGGAACTTTAAAGATAAATCACTAGATGCTATATTGTTTAGAGAAAATTTCATAGAATTTTCATGGAAGAGCCTAGAAGTCTGAGTAGGAAAGGGACAGAGTGGCAAATAAAGAGGTGGCCCAAGGAGTGAGTTTGGTAAAAGAGAGAAAAAAAGTCTACAGGTGTATATTTTTCCAAAGTAGTAGTTACGTTCCACAATCAGGCAGATAAAAAATACGCATATACAAACACACACACACTAACACAGCTGGGGAAAATAAAGGATAACCTTTCTTTTTTCTATCAAGTGTTTCTTCAGAAGCACTTCCTTCTTCCTACCACTGATGTAAATAAACAACCTAAATTTCATAGTCTAAAGTTGGTGGCCCTCTAGTGTTATCTTAATTTAAAGACAAAACAAAATGATTATTTTAAGTCCATAATTTCATTCTTCTGAAAAATAAGCTCAGGTCCAGAATAGTTTGTTTGATCTCTCATTCTTCTATGTAGGTGACTCATTGTCATGCCCATTTTTTTGTTCAGCATTTTGTGCTGTGTCTATAATTCTGTGCATGTGCTTATGAGATTCAACAGGAACTGCTGCAGGTATTGAGGTACAGTGATGAACATAAATGAAAACAGTCTGCATTCATGGAATTCGTATTCAAGTGTGTGTTAGGGATGGGGACAGGCAATAAACATAAAAATACATAAAATATATGCACTGTCAGATCATGATAAATGTTATCAAGAAAGTGATATAAAACACAGATGTGCCTAAGGCTCTCACAAGTATTATCTCTATTTCACCATATCCCATTCTTGCTGTAACCATCGCACAGTCTTTTGTAACCATAATTCTGTTGAACTCATTCTTGTCAGGGTCACCAGCAATTTTCTCCCTCACAAACTAAATAATCAATTTTCACTTCTCATTTTTACTTAATCTCTATCTCTCCCTTCTTGAATCATTTTCTTCATTTGACTTCTATGCAGTGGTATGCTAGGGCCAGCTTATGTAACACCATGACAGATGACTGTTAGTTGTTTAGGAATTTTGTGTATGGCTTGAAATCAGCCATGATGGGAATATTTTCCCCACAAAAATCACCAAAACAAAACAAAACTCACTGCCATCAAGTCGGATCTGACTCATAGCAACCCCTCCTTGGGTTCTGAGGTGATATCTCTATGGAAGTAGATTGGCCAACCTTCCTTCTGAGGACTGTCTGGTGGGTTTGAACTGCCAGGCTTCTGGTTAGCAGTCAAATTTCTTAGGCACTATGCTACCACCGGCACTAAAAATCAAGACTTTTTGTTTTCAGACATTTGGTGTCTAGCACATCTCTGCTTCTAAGATATCATGTCCTTCTGGTTTTTCTCTTATGCATTGCTTCTTATGACTGTTCTTAATTTTCCTTTTCTTCCCATCTTCTAAATATTGGACTACCCAAGCCACTTTTTCAGTCTCTCTCTATTCATTGCATAAGTTCAACAACCTCAGTATCATCAGAGGCTATTTGACTTCCAAATCCATACTTTCCTATGTGTCAGATTTGTATGTTTATTGTCTTAGTTATCTATTGCTGCTGTAAGAAAAATACCACAAATGGGTGGTAACAATTTAATAAACAGAAATTGTTTTCTCACAGTTTAGGAGGCTTGGAGTCTGAATTTAGAGTACTGGCTCTAGGGGAAGTCTTTCTCTCTCTCTCTCCCTGTCTCTTTTAGCTTCTGCTCCTGGGTAATCTTCATGTGGGTTGACATTTTTCTTCTTCTCTGCTTCTCTCACTTGCTTATTTAATCTCCTTTATGTCTCAAAAGATATTGACTGAAGACACAGCCTACACTAATCCTGTCTCATTAACATAACAAAGAAAACCCATTTCCAAATGGGGTTATAACTACAACCACAGAAGTTAGGATTTACAACACACATTTTGGGGGGACATAATTCAATCCATAACATTCCACCCTTTGCCCCACCCCCAAACTCATATCCTTCCTACATGCAAAATACTTTGACCCCATCACATCATCGCAAAAGTCTTAAATCCACTCCAAGTCCAAAATTTCATCTTCTGAATCATCTAAATCAAACATGGATGAGACTTTATGTGTATTCCATTCTGGGGCAAAATTCCTCTTCATCTGTGAATGAGTGGAATCTAGACTACAAATTGTTTCCAAAGTGCAATGGTGGAACAGACATGAAAGATACTTCCATTCCAAATGGGAGAAATTGGAGGAAAAGAAGGGATAACAGGCAACAAGCAAATCCACAACTCAGCAGAACAATTTACATCAGCTCTCAAGATTTAAATACAATCCTCTATTCTTTGGGATTTTGTGGACAATGGTCCTGCCACAAACTCTGGCTATTGACCATGTTCTCTGGATTCTGTGTAGTGGGCCCTGAACTTTGGCATTTAGCTCTACTTTCTAGGCTCACTGCTCCCTTGGCTTTGAGTGGCCTCATTTTTCCAGTCCATCTGAATTGTGACCCCATTCCCTCAGCTCCAGCAAACCCCATTCTTCTGCCCCTGGATGCAGCAACCCTGCTTCCTCAGCTTTGGGCAGCAGCCCCATGCTCTTGGCCAAACTGAATGACGGCCTCACACTTTAGAACCAAATTAGGGAAGATCTGACTCTTTGAT